AGTACTCAAATTATCAACCTTAACTGTACAGCATCTTGTTAACTGGAAGACATTGTCAAGTTAAAAATGTAGTAGTGCTTCATGATTACTAAGTGTCTTAAAATATACAGAAATAAACAGCTACTTAAATATAAGAAAATAATCTAACTTTAAATGAAATCTCAGTCCTGATACCACACAAGCGATAGCTTCTACTTTGGCTACAAAGGCAACTCAGAACACAACACAATATGTACTTGATTTTCTAATTTACTTAAAACAGATCAATAAAGTCATTATGCTACATTTAAAAGCAACTATAAATTTAAGCTATACAGTTGATGTGGTTAAGTAGATTTCACCTTTCACTCTTCTGAAAAACATACTTTCAAAAGTATATATCTTGAATAAAAGCAGCAAGCTTTTTTGCAGCTGTTTAAGTTTAATAGCACATTTTGATTTTATAATATGCACAAAGAATTTTGTTCCTCATTCTTTTCAATAATTCTCAGGTAGATGATATGTTACCATTTAGTTATGTGTACTGTTCCTTCAAGAGGATCTTCCAATAGTCTGAACTGATATTACAGCTGGTCAGAGCCAGGCAAGAACCAACTTGCAAGTTACATTCCCGTGTAATATAAAATTTGACTGATACTGAATCTTGGTTAGGGTCCACAGGATTATGTGAAAAGTTACCACTCTGATTTGCTGCAGAATTTGGGTTCAAATCCAAATTCTCAGCCACAATATCTACACATTGTTCGCAACTGCAAGTACAAGAAGCAGGACATTTCCTCTGCAAATAGATAGCAAATGGTAAGAACATTAAATTACCGAGGTGTGTGTGATCCCTCAACAATCTGATCACCTGCAGCTAGATATAGCAACTGACTGCTAAAGAAACTATTAATATGAAATAAATTCATAAGTTATCCAAAATATCATCCGCAGTGTCACCAATGCATCTTAAAGATTTCTCTGCAAGTTGAAAACAGGTATTTATAAAGAAAACAAAATTCAAAAGTTTTTTTTTACTGCAGACAGTAGAAGTAAAATCATAAAGCCTTAAGAGAAGTCAGGACAAGAAGCAACAATGATTTATCTGAATGCTGCTGCCTTATCTAAATGATTTCAGCATGCAGATGGAATGCAGATTTCTCTGGCTGCATGTTCAACTGGGGTATCAGCAGCATGTGTAGTTTAGTGCAATTGCTAGATAGCAGATCTTAAACACACGCTCTTCCTCTTAAAGGGGAACATCTCTCAAGCAACTGGACCCCTACTACTTACTGTCATTGAAAGGTCTAGATGGAAGGGCAAGCACAGCAAGAGGCAATAGGGGCTTTTCAGGTGTCCTAGTGCTGCATTGGAGACATTAGTGACTTAGCCTGAAAGGAAGAAAGATGTATCGTTCCTGAATGGGTTGGAAACAGTCAACATGTATAATGAAAAGGGAGATAGCCACAGGGGTCCATTTCTGGAATTGGGCTGCAATGTGAGAAGACGTTCAATATAAGAACTTAAGAAACAGGAGCAGGAGTGGACCATCTGGCCCATCCAATCTGCTCAACCATTCAATAAGATCATAGCTGACATTTTTGTGGACAAAGAAGTTCTTCCCCCACTCAGTCTTAAATATATTCCCCCTTATTTTGAGGCTGTCCCCTAGTTATAGTTTCACCTGCCAATAGAAACAACCTCCCTGCTTCTATCTTATCTATTCCCTTCATAATTGTATACGTTTCTACAAGATCTGCCCTCTTTCTTCAAAATTCCAATGCGTATAGTCCCAGACTACTCAATTGCTCCTCATAAGGCAACTCTCTCAATTTTGGAATCAACCATAGTGACCCTCTCTGCACCCTGTCCAGAGCCAGTATATCCTTTCTCAAATAAGGAGACCAAAACTGTACACAGTACTCCACGTGTGGCCTCTCCAGCACCCTATACTTCACAAGGCCCTCAAGGTCAGTGAATATGTTTGCTGAGGACATCTCCTACATACTGTTCCCCATCTCCTGCTGCTCAATGCACCAGACATGCATTACTCACCCATGAGTAATCATAATTCAAGCCATAATTCAATTTGTCTGCTTTCAAATGCCCAAGAACTATTGCCTCAGGTTGAAGCTATACTAGTTCTCTAATGAAGGAGCAGAACCAGTTGATCTGATACCACAGCCATTACCACAGATTCTAAACTGTGCAAACTTTAGAGTTGAGCTCAGCATCACTTTCTGCACATTGCTTCTCCTCTCTTGTCGATGTACCACATTCAAGTATTGCTGCAGCCCAGAGGACAGACACATTGGGCCACACAGCCTCCAGCAGCACCATAACACTTGCTGCAACTATTGCCAGCGTTAATGAAGCAAGATTTTTCCCCCAATAGGTTAACCAACTACTCTTGACATCTTTGTCAATTGTAAAGCTTACGTGAAAATCTAAATGTTAGTAAAATTCCTTCAACAACAAACATTACTGTCACTAACTCTGCATCCCCAAAAACAAGTCAAAAGCACCTCTCCAAATGGACAGTTAACTCTTTAGTGTTACTGAGGGGGAGACCAGCATGCCACTGAGCACATGTTCATATGGGAGTGTTTAAAAGATATTAAGTGACCTGGACTACTATAGATGGTATGGTAGCTCATTCATCAAATGCACATTAGCAGCTGTTTAAATAATCTGCCTATTTTGAAAGCTCGCAGCATCCACATGTCAAGCCCACACTAGTACCCAGCCAGTCAGAGCCAATCTGAGGTTTATGCCATTAGTGGCCACAGGTGTCTGGATAATGTTTTTTTTTCAAATTCAGTCTTTCTGTAACATTGATGTGGTTTTATGCTACTCAATTTCATGACCCTAGTATTTAGATAACACAATCTCATTTGTTAAAAAAAAGAAAAATTCCTTCATGTGTTACGAACTGTAACAGTATTTGGATAATCTAGTGGTCTACTAATCTAACCATTTGTTGCAGAAAACCTCTACATTTCAGCATTCGTTGTGGTTTTGTTCCTGTTATTCTTTGAATACAGATGTTCCTTTCTAATGTACAACTCAAATTTACTTTTCACTCACTACATTCATATTCATTAATTCAACTTTTGTTGAATTAGAAAATGACAATAGTCTGATCCTAGTTTTATGTTGCTTCCTTTAACATCTCACTTTTTTCATGCAAGTGCATAATTCCATTTTAAAGGGATTTATAAGTTCCACATTAAATTAAGGTTTATGGCAAAGAATTCTGTGTGCTAATCTTTTTTTCTGGCATTCCATTTTACTTCTGTTATATCAGGTGTGTTCTCCCTTGTCTTACCAACCAATTGAAGTAATATCAATATTAAATTCATTATAACTCTTTCCATCCTTAAGTTTATCAAATCATACCTTCTCAGCCTTAAAGATCCTAACTTCTCACATCTCTCTTCATATGAAACCTGAGAAAGTATACTACACAGTTTTAACAGTTTCTATGATGAAATGCCCATTACTGCACACAATATTTCAAATGCAGCCTCAAAATTCAGAGTTTAAACATTGGTAGTGATGAGTCTATCACTTCAAAGACTCTTTTAAATTCTCTCTAAATTTAATCCCATTTAACATATATTTATGATGTAAACATTTTGACGAAAATGCAAAAATGTATATTGCATGTTCCTAAGTTTTGATTTGCCACTAATCTGCCCAAATGTGTAGCTAGCAGAAATGAGGTAAATCTCTTGTTTTATCCATTATCTCTTCTGCTCCTCCTATTTATATTAGGAAATGTTACATGCTTATATTTAATTCTGACATGAGTGTTTAGTATAGTTTAGGAATGATGGAGATCCAAGAAACTTCCCTCTAAGACACTAAGTTCATTATTGCACCAACATTGAGCTCTTATACGTACAATTGCTTATTTTTGTAATAAAAACTTGCTACCTAGTCTGTGCTGGTTTTTCTAGATTTTAGTGTAATTCAATGGTGTTAATGGAGATATGCAGGATTTATAATGGAGAATTATATCTAAATAGATAGCAGAACATCCCTAAAAAGTTTTAAGTTTTTGAAGACAGGATTGGCTGCACTCAAACCAAGTTGACTTATTATTGTTGTATACCTCTATACTAATTACAAAGTTATACTTCCTATTAGTTTTCCTATTTGATATTAACCTAAGTGGGGTTTGTGGTTGCTTTTTGTGCATTTCCTGTCTTGCCAATATCAATACATTGCCTTCTGGACTATGTGATTATGAGATGTGAAGTTGATATTGATTGTTCAGTCCAACAACTTTGCCCTGTCTTGGTAGCCGTTCTTGGACATGTCAACTGCCAAAACATATTCGCCATTCTCTGCCTCACTTTTTGCAATAATTGAACCATATGAGAAGATTTTAACTTGCTGCAAAACTCAAACATTTTTAAACTTTGTTCTAATAGAAACAATTCAAATAGTTTTTCTTTTAAGTTACAACCCATTAAATTATGTGGCAGTGTATCACAGAATTCCAAAATTACATTCTATCCCTCTCCCAGTACACTTGCACCCAAATGGAAGGGCGTGACATTTAACACCAGTTTGATTCCAGATCAAAGAGATTAAAGGATTAACCGTTTATGATATGGAGTTATGAACACAACTTTTTACCTTTATAAAGAATTAGGTATTTTACAAGATTAAAATCTATTGAACGGCAGTCTTTTTAAAAGAAATACATAGCGAAGTTTGTTATTAAGAACTCTAGTTCAGGTGTGATTCCAGAGATTTACCCATGACAAATACCAGATGACTTGTTACGGTGGGAGTTAGGGTAAAAGGATGGTGGGTAGAGCAGAAGACATGAGTCAGCACTAATTTGCCATAGGTGCTAAATTTCTGAAAAAAAAGGCCCCAGATTATCCAAGTTACTCAAAATTGCCATGGAAATAGATAGCTAGCTTTCCTTCAGAACAAAATGAAGAACGTTAATGCAAACAGAAATCATGTTATTTTGCAATTAAAACTGTAGAATTTGAACTTACCTGAACATAGTATGCCCTTGTGCCTAGCGCATGAGAAGTCATCACACTCACAGAAAGTCCCATAAATCCTTCCAAACTCACTCTCATAGCAGACACACTGGTTGCAGCTGCATTCCCCTCTGCCACTGCAGATCGGCTTTCCCTCTGCTTCACGGCAAAACGTCTGGAATACATTACTGGTTTCTCCATCCTGGCATTCACAATTGGCTCCCAGAAAGCCTGGATCACACTTACAGATCCCACACTCATAGGTTCCATTACCATTGCACTTGGAGCTGCTGGCTTGCATCCCATTTGTACAGTCACAGTTACAAATATAACCAAATGTTATACTCAGTGAATCTTTGAAGCCAACAGGCTTAATGGTGAAGCTATTTCTGGTCTGGGCTTCTGGGCAGCTCCTAGCTTCTACAGTGACGTCAAAAGACACCTGAACAGAAAGAACATTATTGAAAACAGCAATACTGTAGAAGTTCAAAGATACAACAAACTTAACATTGTTGCACATAAAAGCAATGTTCTTGGACAGTGCATCTCAAGGGGTGGACAACGTCAGTGAAAAACAAAATTGTATAGTTCGAAACTGATTGTAGCAGATTATTCACACACAGTCCAGAATACGACACAAATCTTTCCAAAGTATCTCATACATATGTTTCACTGTACTTTGCTCAAAATAAAAAAGTGCTTCCATTGAAAGGTTACGGAGATATTAATTTTGTCAATCACTACTTTTAAAAACTTAAATAACTTGCTCGAGACCACCAGGCAGACTGCGTGCCTTCACACCAGCTGCATCCTGCCAAATGTCATTTTTACTGCAGTCTCTGGATGGAGAGCTAAACTATCCACAAAAATTTGCAGGTCTTTCTTTAATCATGCAGGTCAGGATCTGATACTATTTTTTGGATTTGACAGCAATCTTAACATCAACCTGAGTGGGCAAAGCCTCCAAAGAGTTAACCTTACAAAGGCTGAAGGGAATATAAAAATTGCTATTAGCACAAGAACAGCTGGCAGCTGGATGTCCTATATTATACTTTTATATTTCACCATATATTGAGCCATCATTCTCGCTCTTGTATTATATTGACGGTTCTGTCTTATCCTTTATTCATGTGGATATAACACATTTATTCATGCTCAAGGAAGGGCAGGCAAAGCTCATTTTCCTAAAGCTTTCACAGCTGTTTCCAACATGCACTTTAACGTGGTCACTACTGTTTTTACCAAATACAATTTAGTCTAAATTTGGGAAACCGAATACTGACTTTATTTTAATCCACATCTTATATATTCAGATTATAACACATCAAAATACTATACCACAAACAGCCCTCGGCATCATTGCACTAAATCCATTCTGACATTAAATGTAGAATTTGCAACCAACCATGAATGATTTTTGATCTGCGGAAATACAACAAGCCACCGCCACATGCTGTAGTTACTCAATGCCTTTCTTATTCTATTGAATGATTGTGGGAAGAATTAAGAAAGGTCAGAAGTACTGATGTTTACCACCCATTTCCCAGGGATGAACAAGTTTTGGAATTTTACTTCTGATACTGCAGGCTGCCTTTGATCAATCTCTTACATATGCAAATTGCTGCTCTGCTTTTAACACTGCATTCCTCTCTAACGCCTTTGAGCATGTTGTTGCCTCCCACATCAGTACTCAATCAGGTTTCTTCTCCTGCTACAGTATCAAAGTAGCCAGAATCACAGTCACAAATCAATTGTTCCTAACTATGACTATAGCCTCCATGCCTTTGTGTTCTGTGCCTTGAGTTATAAAGTCCAGGATCCAAGATGTATTAGCCACTTTATCAACCTGCCCTGCTGCCTTCACTGATTTATGTACATAAACTCAGGCTGCTTAACTCCAAAATTGACTTTAGAATCTTTCCTTTATTTTATTTTACCTCTACCAAATCCTTTGCTGCATTAAATTTTATCTAATACGTGTCTGCCTATTCTATCACCATGTCTACGTCCTCTTGATGATTATTTCTCCCTTTCCGAGGCCATACACCAACAAGTTTGGTATTATCTGAAAATTTTGAAATAGTAGCATGTATACCCAAGACTAGATTTCTATTAAAGAACCTAATACTGACCATAGAGAGCCCTATTATTTACTACCCTCCTTTGCAAAAACAACCAACCATTCTCCGCCAGTCCCTGTCTCAGCTAACTTTGTCTTCATTCTGTCAACATTTTTGCTATTCCATTAGCTTTAGCTCTGCTGACAAGATCATTGTGTGACTTTTCACCAAGCATCTTTTGGAAGTCTACGCACTTCATACTTACCACACTCCAATAAATCCTCTCACTTACCTCAAAAATCACCAATCTAGTTAAATGATCTGTCCTTAAATTCATGCTGGTTTTCCTCAATTAATCTACATTTATCCAAATGACTGCTAACTTCTGCCCCCGAAATATTTCTGAAAGATTTACCACCCCTAAGGTTAACCAGACCAGTCTGTGGTTGCTGGAATTACCTGTACACACTTTTTTGAACAAGATGTGTAACATTTGCAATTCTCTAACACCATTCCTGTCTCTAAGGAGAATTACGACCAGTGCCCCTGCAATTTCCAACCCTTCAGCCCTCAGGTAATCTCATCCAATCTTTGTGACTTATATTCTTTAAGTGCAGTCAGTTTGTTAATGCCTCCTCTTTAAATCAATTTTTTAATTAGCCCAGTACTAAGTTTCCTTTCACTATTGCTTTGGCAGCATCTTCTTCCTTGCGAAGAAGAGGGGATAAGTATTCATTTAGTACCATAGACATGTCCCTCCATGCAAAATACACCTCTTTGGTCTCCAAATGATTCAAGTTCTTCATTTACTATATTTTATTTATGCCTCTAGAAGAGTTTTAACTTCCTTTTATGTTAGCCATCAGTCCCTTTTCATACTCGCGTCCATTCCCGATTTTTTCACTTTTCTTCTGAGTGTTTTCTTATTCAGCCTGGTTCCCATTTGTACAAGTAACAGAACATCTGTTATATGCACTGAAATGAAAGAAAGAACTGTGGATGCTGCAGATCTGAAACAAAAACAGAAATTGCTGGCGAAACTCAGCATGTTTGGCAGCATCTGGGAGGAGAAAGCTGAGTTAACATTTCAAGTCTGGTGACTCATCAGAACTGTTTGTTTACAATCATTTATAAATTTGAAGAAACTGTCTACAGCATTTAAATTATCAAGACTGTGCTTGCTATTTACTGTCATGTGAAAAAAACCAGAAGGTCATAATTAAAGGACTAGTGCTGCATTATTGATTTCACAACCTCTTTTTTCCACTGACAGCTTCATGTGCTTATAAACTCTGCAGTGGGACTACAAACTCAAATGTTTGCTTTAATAAAGATTGAAAGTCGTTAAGTGTAGTAAATAGGTTTTTTAAAATCGATGACTATGTTTTCTAAATAGCAAATTTATCATGGGTCTCAACGTAGGTCCTGAAATGTTCACATGGTGGATATAGAGTGGCACAGAAGGGAAATGGACAGTGGTTAGGGCATGGGTGGTCATGAATTAGCAACAAATTGGCATATGGCTATAAAGGGGCATGGGAGTGAGTGGAGTGAATGAGGGGCAACACGGTTTGTGTGGAGACTGTAATTTGGCATGAAGATAGGAGGAGGCATAGAGAATATAAGGAACCATGGAGTAACGGGGTGCATAAGATTGTGATGACAGGGTATTGGCTTAGACAGAGGGGTGAAGAGTAGAGTGTGAGTTGAAGAATGAGGGCTATTTTTTGTTTTATTCTGTTTCTAATTTCTTTAACGAAATGCTGAAGTAACAAGGCAGTCTTTCACCCCATCTATCTTCACAGACAGCAGGCTCCAAAATGTTTCCAGCATCACTCCCATTTTAATCTAGCCCCCAGAACAAGTGGAACTTCTGGAGAACTTTTACACGGTACAATGTTGCAGCACTGGGAACTTCCAAATCATCAGTCCTGACCAGGGAGAGAAAATTCAGGCCCCAATTCAGATCCAGTGAAATAAGTTTTCAGAGAGGCAGAGAGAGAGAGAGAGAGAGATGAAAAGAACATATTGCATTTCCCATCCAGGCAGCCAAACAAACTGAACAATTCTGCAAGGTATGAAAGGTAAAGCCAGAAGCAGGAATCCTTGGAGACTCTGCTTCCAGCATTTGGAGGACAGAATGCAAAGGCCAAGGGTGGAGAGATGAATGCTGCCTTACAGGATGCACTGAGCATGTGTAAAGCTAGAATTTTGTGGAATCAACAAGAAACCGTCCACAATCATTCAATATTTAGAAGAAAGGAAATGAATTGAATGTTGCAGCATTCATAAAATTTATGAAGTGGCCTTTGAGTTGAATGCACTTCAGGGGCTTAGTGAGAAGTGTTTCTGGTGCACTTTGTATCTTGAGAATTTATGCGGTCTACTAAAGCAGATCATTAACAATGGGAAAAAAATATGAAAGGGACTGAAATTTTTCAACTCCATTTGGAACTATGACATCATTTTGTTTGATTTAAATCATCTATTCATTTGAATTGAAATAACACAAAACTTTTTTTTATTACAACCATTTAATCTGATTGATTGAATAATTTTATTTTAAGCAAAACAGAATGATCTCCTGCATCCACAGTACATTGCTTTTTATCTGAAAAAAGAGAAATAGATGATGTTCAGAGTACACGGGGGAGCCTCTCGACTGCATTCGATAAGTAACACACACACACACACACACACACACACACACACCACCC